ATAGCATCCTACCTGCTGAAGCACTTAGCTGGTTATGACAACAGCTATCAAATAGCACTACGCTTGCGAGTATATACTAGCGAGTACCTTCAAATATTTTAATATGAACATTTATATGCACATATATGTATATTTATTTATATAGATATATATGTTAATATGTTGATATATGTATATAAAATTACTGAAATAATCTTTCCGATTATAGCATTTAGAAGCATAAAGTGAATACTAAAAAAAAAAATTAACGGCACGTTAGCAAATGTAATTGAATTAGCAATGCTTGTATGTAAAATTATTTGCTAAAATCGGAAACAAAACATTGCACACAGAAATGTAACTAGTATTATTAACTAGTATTAGTTTGTTAAATGAAAGAATAATAAATTAACGTGAAGTACCAAATGAATGATTAAAAGACCGATTACCATGTATCTATCTCTTATATGTTTTCTCTATGATATAGTAATTAATATTGTAACTAGTTATTTTAAATAAATAAAAAAATAACTAGTATTATTAGCTAAAATTAGTTTGTTAGGTGAAAGAATAAACTAACGAGAAGTGACAAATGAATGACGAAAAGACCGATTACCATGTATCTATCTCTTATATGTTTTCTCTATGATATAGTAATAAATATTGTAACTAGTTATTTTAAATAAATAAAAAAATAACTAGTATTATTAGCTAATATTAGTTTGTTAGATGAAAGAATAAACTAACGAGAAGTGCCAAATGAATGACGAAAAGACCGATTACCATGTATCTATCTCTTATATGTTTTCTCTAGGATATGGTAATAAATATTGTAACTAGTTATTTTAAATAAATAAAAAAAAATAAGTAAATGTTTATAATTGGAAAGTATTCAAAACATGGTAGATTTTATCTACATCGAAAATTATGTAAATTTTGTTATAAACATTTTTGAGAATTTAAGAGAAGTGTTTGCAATTATATTCCTGAGATATAGCCATCAAGTTTTTTGTAAGGCATGTTTTTAGACTAGGTTTTAGTGAAATCTGAACACATATCCTATGTAACATAGTTCTAGAACATAAACATCATACTATCAGACTGGTCATTTGTATATATGACTATTCATTAATATCGGTAATAAAACATAACACAAAGAAAATTAACTAGTGACCTAGTCGTAAAGAATAACTAGCAAGAAAATATTGAATTATTATTCTATATTATGATATAAATTCATGAATATCTAACCTAACACATTCTCGCATAACGAAAAGTATCCGTCCAAGTTTAATAAGTGAAAAGTAGAAAAAGTCAAATTTAGCAAAATTGAAAAACTAAACAAAAAATTATTTGTTTCAGGCAACACAGATCCATACACTGCCTACTTCAACATTAAAAGAAAATATATACACACATACATATATTCTTTATTGCTTTCCAATGTACAGATATCAAATTATTAACACAATCCACAATTTTGCTTAACTGGTGGTTTCCTGGAAATCCTCATACATTTTAATGGCAAATCTGAACACGAACAACGCATTTTTCCTACCTGTTGCACGTGCTAGCAAAACTCCTAACCTTGGTCGGAAAATTTTTCAAATCAACTGTACTGCCTATAATCCTACTGTTTAGGGGTTTGTGAGCACTACGTACACAGATACATTTATATCTGACTGACTGTATGAATGACAAATGATGAATGAATGTATTTATAATATTATTAAGAAAACTGTATAAATAAAAATCATTGAATATGTTAAAATCAAATGTGTTAGCTTGTATCTTATTATCGTATGCAAAAATTAACCTATCGAAAGAAAAAAAAATTAAACAGATAAATCTATCTATAGGTGGCAAATAAATTCCTTGGGCTTGTGTTAAGGATAAGTATGTACTTTTTAAATTGAGTATGAAATAATTTTTAAGTGGTTACGTGTTTGTGGTTTCGTTTGCTAAATGTATCTGTAGCGATTATTAAAAATTATTAACTTTATTTGGAGAAAGCACATCAGACTCACAGTGAAGCAAGTACATGCCAAGCACGCAAATATTTATGCCATAAATACCGACTTCCTTTTAAATCTCCTGGCTGCACCATGCTTCGTTGACTAATGTAGCTTCCTTCATTCGGTTAAAGCCGCATGGATAAAACGCATTTTTCAAAATGAAATAATAGCGTACAAATGACGAAACAAGCACATCTCTTAATGCCATTCCATTTGATTTTTTTTTTTATTTTTATTTTAGTCTTCACATTTAAGTTATACAAAATAACGGTTTTCATGCAGTTTTTTGGAAGATATGTGCTTTAAAGTTAAGTATTTTTCTGGAACAAATTATTTTATCTTAGTGGATCGTAGCGTTTAGCAGCCCAGGTTTACGATTCCGTAAGGCAAAATAAGTAAAAGTTAAAATAAATAAAAGTTAAAATAAATAAAAATTAAAACAAATAAAAATTAAAATAAATAAAAATTAAAAAAAAATAAAAGTCAAAATAAATAAAAGTTAAAATAAATAAAATTAAAATAAATAAAAGTAAAAGTAAATAAAAGATAAAATAAATAAAAGTTGAAGTAATTAAAAGCTTAAATAAATAAAAGTTAAAATAAATAAAAGTTAAAGTAAATAAAAGATAAAATAAATAAAAGTTGAAGTAATTAAAAGCTTAAATAAATAAAAGTTAAAATAAATAAAAGTTAAAAAATAAAATTAAATAAATAAAAGTTAAAGTAAATAAAATTAAATTAAATAGAATTAAAAAAAAATAAAAGTTAAATAAATACAACTAAAATAAATAAATGTTGAAATAATAAACGTTAAAATAAATAAAAGTTAAAATATATAAAAGTTAAAAAATTAAAGTTAATAATAAAAGTTAAAATAAATAAAATTAAACAAATAAAAATTAAATAAATAGAAAAAAAAAAAAAAAAGTTAAAATTAAATAAAAGTTAAAAAATAAATTAAAATAATAAGTTAAAGTTAAAGTAAATAAAAGTTAAATAATTAAAGTTAAAATAATAAAAGTTAAAACAAAAAAATTGAAAAAAATTAAAAATAAATAGAAATTAAAAAAATAAAAGTCAAAATAAATAAAAGTTAAAAAATAAAATTAAAATAAATAAAAGTTAAAGTAAATAAAAGATAAAATAAATAAAAGTTGAAGTAATTAAAAGCTTACATAAATAAATAAAATAAATAAAAGTTAAAAAAAATAAAATTAAAATAAATAAAAGTTAAAGTAAATAAAAATTAAAAAGTAAATAAAAGTTAAAATAATTAAAAGTTAAAATAAATAAAAGTTAAAATAAATAAAAATTGAAACAAATAAAAATTAAAATAAATAGAAATTAAAAAAAATAAAAGTTAAAATAATCAAAGTTAAAATAAATAAAAGTTAAAGTTAAAGTTTGTTTTTTTCTTATCTTTTTTTATTTTCTATTATATCATTTTTTTTTTGCTTTATTCCTATACTTATATTTTATATATACAGTCAAACTGCCATAAATCGAAGTACCATTTTGCAAAGAAAAGTTTCGATTTATGGAGACTTGGAGTTAAAGATTTTTTTTTTGTAATTGTCCATATGTAATTTGCTCTCTAAACCCTGCTACACTCTATTTACTACGAGTTATAGACAATTTGAGTTATAGAAGTTTCAGTTATGGATGTTTAACTGTATTTTAAAATTTAGTACTATAACATATTATATTTAAAGTATTAGAAATTTCAAATTTATACCTCTGCTGATAAATTTGTGGACAATGTGGTGGTGGACAATGAAACCCTGTTGCAACTCACAAACCAAGAAAACATAAATATACAAATAAAACGACGGAAATACAACTGGGTCGGGCACACATTAAGGAAACCCTATGAAGAGGTCTGCCATGCTGCCCTGCAATGGAATCCACAAAGCAATAACAGACCCGGCAGGTCTCGCACCACATGGAGAACAACAATCCGCCAGGAAACTAATAAATCATTCAACGAATTGAGACATAGTCTATGTTCCTGATGGAATACGGCTCATATTATTATTTATAAATTTGTACATTTCTTCAAAGTCCACTGGAAACCTTGCTAGTCATAACCGAATGGTTTGGAAGGACGCCCCAATTTAATATGCGATCTGATACGCTCGCTCTTCATCACTTGCTGAGCATAAAGTGGCACAATTCAGTTTTATTTGTATTTTTTTTTTTTAAATATTTTGGAACCACGAAAATGGAGCAAGTGTAGTGACGAAATAAAAAAGGAGTAATGCATAAATGCAAGTATAAAGGAGAGCGAAAGAAGTGTCTGCAAATTGTTTATGTGAAATTTTGGAAGTGCAGAAGATGTTTGGCACATGTGGCGTGCCAAATAGTTGACTTTAATTTTTTTTTTATTTTTGACATTTCATTTCTTTTATCTTTTCATTTTAAGTTTTTTAATTCCGTTGATGAAAGTTTCTTTAAATGATTTACTTTTGATACTTGCAATGTTTTTAACACCAAAGCATACAAGTTGCACTTGAGAGCAGCACTTAGACGTTTACCTAAAAAAAAATATGTCATGTAAAGCAAAATGCAGTTGGAAAAGACAATCGTATTAAAGGATTGTCATATTAGGTCTTTTGATTTTATTAAAATATTTAAGTGGGTCTGTAAGTAGAATTTTGGGAACTTACTCAAATAATAATTAAATAATATTTTATTAAATAAATAAATAATAATAATTAAGATGCAAAATATCTGTCTATGTATGTACAAATGTACGAATATACACACTCATATAAAAATCAAATTTCGTATTTGTTTACTGTTTAGTTTTCGAGAAACTATGTGTGGACCCGATAAGTGGTCCAATATGGCAATAAATACTAATATATGTTATATATATACTCGTATTCAGTATCACTTAAGCATGTAAAGATAGGTAATATCAACGACTTTCTTAATCGTTCTTTCTTCTTAATTTTTAACGACTTAAATAATCACAAAAGAAAATTAATTTTGTTCTTAACTTACCCATACAAAAATGCTGCACCTGCAATACCCCCACCACACTGAGCGGTGATGTACATTGCAGCTCGTATAGGAGATATAGCGCGTATAACACAAGATGCTAATGTTACTGCAGGATTGATATGAGCACCTGTTAGAGACAAAAAAATATGAAAAATAAAAACAGCAAAATAACAAAATATTTATTTTACAAAAATTTATATTATAAGAAATATGTTTATTTTAAAACTTTAACAGATGAAACAGATAAACTTAAAAGATTTAGATTGCCACTTATAGACACTAGAACCATCAGATTTTTTTTACGACAATTATACCTTATATCTAATCGAAGTCATTTTGTATGAAAAATACAATTAAAAATATATCTCCATAATTTCTCGCAACTCCTCCCACAAAATAAATGATTAGGGACTTAATCTTACTACCGAAGCTATATTTCTTTTTAATACCATAAATCCCATCACAGATCTTGAGGAATCAGATCCGATAAATTGTCAGCGTGGCATATTTCACATTGTACCTGCCAAAAATATAGGCAGTTGATGTATATTCTAAACGCTTGGAATAAATGATTTCCAAGTTAGTGCTGTAACCACTATTTCAATTATGCAGCAACAGAAATATTTACTACGAGAGTGAGAGAGACATTTACCAGATATTTATTAATTATTATAAACACAAATTACACACAATGATATCTGTATATGTATTTAGTTAAAAAGTACAATTTAATAAGAAATATACAATACGGCTTTAGCACAGGAAATATGTCTAAAGAAAAAACACACACTTACGATAAGTTGTAATAAATTTTAAGAAGCCTAGCTATTTTACCTTCACATTCACTATAGTGGATTTAACTACTGTTCTATTTTAAAAAGAAATGCATATATTAAGTTCTAGTAACCTTGCGTTTTATTCTATTTATGCTTTATTCCACAATGAAGATTTCCTCTTCACTTTGGTGGATTCAACTACTATTTAAAAAGGAACCCAGATTCAGTTATGGTGGCCTTACGGGAAAAATCTGAATTATGCACTAAGTTTTTAAATCAATACGAATTTTTTGCTGATAAAATTTACCGCTCATATTAAATCCAATATGCTTGTTGTATGAAACGAATACATTGCGTAATACACGTCACTCTCTTATGATGCCAGTATATCCTATGCTGCCTAAAAGGATGTAGTATCTATTCTCTTATTGCACTGATGAAAGTAGTTTTGTATACAGATACAGAATATATAGGAATAGGTATTTACCTATTTTATTGTTGTTGCTACTATCCCACAGCGCACGTTGGGGGTTTTGCGTATGTGTTTATTAGAATATTTAGAGTTAGAATTTATTTCTAGCTAACACAAAATATGCATTTAATAAACTTGCAAAAATAGTTTTATAAATTCCAATTAAAATTTGCTGGAACACTAGAAGCCAAACATTCCAACAACAATTAATAAAATGTGTATAAATACAAAAAAAATAAATCCTATGTATGTATGTTAAAGTAAAAAATTCAATTAAAATAAAAATGTGAAATTGCAGACATTGTTTTGTATCTTTTCATCTTTAGCTTTCAATTACAGATACATACAAACAACACATATTCAAATTATTATAAATATTTTTAAGATTACAGAGAAATATAAAAAGAAAATTAAAACAATTTTATAAATGTATATATTTTTCATTAAATCCAAAACACATGTTTCAAACAAAACAAGCAAATTTAATTGACATAAATGTCAACAAATCGGTATATATAATATACATCATGTCCCCCCACCAATTAATGTATACCAAAACACTGAGACAAAAAAAAGACTGAAAAATTAAAAGAATCCCCAAACAAACCAATATTCATCACTACTGAAAAATAAGAAAATCCACACTGTAAGAGTTCCCCTTAGTTCCCACGCACATATTTTTAAATTTACATCTGCATACAAATCGAACTCCAAAATAGAGAGGGGGCGCACAATCGAATTGGAAAAATACTCCCATACTTCTTTTGCTGCTGGTTTTAGTCGTACTTGTGCGAGACATCACACTTACACCCTAGGCCCAAGTACCATGCATTCGACAAACAAATGAACTTCAGCATTTAATTTGCTGATGTCTTTTACTGCAATCTTCTTAAGCCCACGCTTGATTTACAATTAGTGAAAAGACATAGTAATTGGATTCGTTTATATTGTTAAGATACAAATTTGTCAAATACAATGCACTAATGCGTTCTTTATGCTTTGATAAACAATAAATATTTTTCTAGATAAAACTTTAAACAACTCTTAAGTTTCTCATAATTAGTTTGAAAAACTTCAATACAACGGAGCCATAGAATACAAAACATAATTGTTTTCATAATTCTTAACGCAGCCTACACAACATCCACTTGAATTATGTGATAGAGTTTAATAGAGAATTATTTTACTATTTTTTTATATATGTATAATGTTTTGAAAATTTCTCTTGAGGCGCATGGCCAACGGGGTAACTTGAGGAAATGACATTTCCTAAACTAAATTAAAGGACAATAATTATATACATATGTATGTATATGTCTATTCAGTACAAAAGTATAATCGATCCAACAGCAAAATAGTTAAATCCGATTTCACAATGTATTTCATTGTTGCGTCACTCGCCAACTTTACTGGACTTCACTATAACAGAGCATAAATTCAAATTCCTATACATTGTCCTATTATGCTAGGTATAGAGAAGTACTTTTCAACGGGTCTAATTACATTTATTGCTATTTTGTTTTATTTTTATAATCGTTAGTATGTTGTTGTATCCATGTATTTTTTCTTGTCCATGATTACAGAAGACCCAGACAATACATGAAAGAGGCAAATTGAAACAGCGTTACAACTTTATGTGAAGAACAGAAAAAAAGTTAAGCGTTTGGCAGTTCATAGAGTTCAACAAAAATTCTTAACTACGGTTACATGTTACATATAGGATATAAGACATATAATATATGTATAGTCATAAACAAACAAAGCAATCTAAAACTTGTTGGTTAAATGTACTTCTCGAAAAAATGTACCAACATAGTAACATTGTCTCTCAATCTCTCTCTCTCTCTACGTTCACATTAAATTAAGATAGTGCAGTACTCATAAGCACGGTTGCCACTTGAAAATTTATTTCTGTAAATTGATTTCTTGATAAATTGATTTAAAAAGGTACCATTTCTGTAAAAAAAGGTCCAAAATTTCCAAATATAGTGTTAATGTCAATTACATTAGCGTTACTTATAGTTACCACGACCCCCTAAAATATATTAAAACAACTAACTATAGTTTGAAATTGTTAAAAATATTGCCTAAATTAGTTACATACATAAATAAAATGAATTCAAGGATATCTTTAGTCCCTATTTCAAACTTTATTATCATAATACCGAATTACACCACCCCACCATTAATTTTTCATACACTTAGAATAATCTGTATTATTTGTATAAATCTATTATTTTATTTGTCTAAGAACTTATGCACATACCAGATATGTATAGGAAGCATTGGGTTAGTGTAGCCATTGCCAAGCCAGATGCCAATGCCGTTGCTAATAGCACTGAAGAAACACTGGCACCCACTCCGGCGCCAGCAGCCGCTCCGCAAACGATGAAGACGTAAAAAAATGAAGCCAAGCATTCACTTATGATGGATCTGCAAAAAGAAATGATGAAAATATGCATAAGTAAATATGTATGTGTTAAAAATAAAAATAAAAATATTTATTTATTTTTTATGTTATTTTTTTTTTTGTTTTGTAACAAACATAATTCGAAAAACAAAGAGGATTTTGAGTTTTGGCGCGAAATGGGTAAGTTGAAGGCATTTATTGGATGATGCAAATATTTTGGATACTCATTGGATTTTAATAATGATTTATGAACAGTTGAAAAATTTCTTTGGCTCCTTTTGAAGTACTTTGCAAAATATAACAGTTTAATTTTTGATTTATAAATGAATGTACATACATGTATGTTATGTATGTATATACATACGTGCATTAAAATATGTTTATAAAATATTTATAAAAATATGTTAAAAATTTTTTAGATATTTTTTGGTTTATTTCAAATAAACAAATTAAATTACAAGTTTTTTTCTTTCTGCAATTTTGTGCAAAAATTTGCAATATTTATTTTTATTAACATATTTGCATAATTCTACTTGCACGTATGTATGTACATATCTATGTAAACGCTAATTGTATACACTTAATATAATCAAATGCAAATCAAAAACAATAATAATAACAACAACAATGAGCAATAAGGATTATTATTATTTTTTTTGTTGTTGTTAAGCATAAAAAACGCAGCTGCGTGGCGACAATATTGGTAAGTATGTAGGATCTTATATGTGTATGTATGTATGTATGAATATAATTGGCATAATCACACATACACATTACCCAATGCAAACATAAACAATAAGTGCATGTGTTTGATTTAATGTGTAAGGTAGTAGTAGTAGAAGGGCCTTCTTAAAAACTGTAAGGCACCAACAACAATTCAAACAGCAACAATTGTTACACACTCAAGACAAGAAATGTAAATAAGAATAGTGACTAAGGGAAAAAAACAAATTATTTCTTTCTTCTTATCTTTCTTTTGAATGATAAAAAACAGTAAAAAAATAAAAGGAAAATAAAAAAGAATTGAAAAATTAGTAGCAGCTGCAACTGAATGTGACCAACCGAAACTGACCTCTGGACAAATGTTGTTTTTTTTTTTGGTTTTTCTTTATTTTTGGACTGTTTTGTTTTACTGATTTTTTTCTTCATTTTATTTTGTTTTTTGCTTTTGTACAGTTTTGGGAAGAGCATTTAACACTGTCAGAACGTGCTACTTCACACCCCACTCAAGAATACTACACTTGCTCAACACATGCAAAATGCAATCTCTGATTGGTCATTTATCAACATTTCAGAATAATTGCAAATGTGCTTTTGAAGACGAACTACTCACAAACAACAAAAACCAAAACTATGAATAATAATGTTAAATATGTATGTAAATTTGTCAAAACGCGCGTGTGTGTATGTATGTGTGCGTTGATGCATATAATGTATGCCAACAGTTGTGTGAATATTTAATTTGGCAGTTAACAAAAAATAAGTTGATGGATCACAAATTTGATTTTAAAGAGTTTTTGCTATCAAAACACCATGGCGTACATACCTCCCACCTCTATCTCTCTCTCTCTCCGCAGGAATGTTAAGGAGACGTTGAGCTAAAAGTCAATATATTAATGTCTCATTACTGTCGTCTGTTTGTCAAAGAAAATAAGAATTAAGTGCTCATTAAAATGTGTGGGCTAAAATATAATAAATGAAAAAATGGGAAGAGAATTTTTTTTTATTCTTATATCGATGAGAGTATTGATGATAAGTATCAAGAATTATAGAAATTAGACTATATGTATGTATCTCAGGGTATATTTGGTTAATATGGCTGGTCTAGTGCTCTCTTCTGATACCAGGTGGAGCAAGACCTTTATAAAAAAAATTTCATTCTATACAAAATGGAAAAATAACTTGGTCTCTATATTGATAAGTGCACCAAGACTATCTCTAATCTAAGAGAGGGAGATACCATATTTTTTCTAACTAAAAAAGTTTCTACTTATGTATTACTAACGTTCTAAGAATGGACAATATCACAATCGTGATATAGTAAATCTAACATAGTGCTCTATTTTTTAATAATTGAATTAAAAATATTAATAATAACTAACAATATCCACTGAATCAAGAGCCCACATACATCGTTTATTTATACGAAAACTGTAAAAGGTACCGTAACAAAATTTGGCTGATTCAAAACCACAGACCTCGTTCAGTTCCAAAACCAAAAGGTTCCAAAACTAAACTGTGACCAGTTTTGTCGCAGCGAAAACTAAACCCAAATTGTTATATTTTTTTTTATTAAACCGAAATGAATTTATATACCTAATAGTATCTACTAATTAAAGAGTCTAGAGATTGTGTAGTTCAATGAAAAACGTTTAGGGTACCTAAACTAAACTGGACTAAAAAATTTGTATGCTACACTCTTTTAAGAAAACAACCACTGCCCTCATTGACGTAAAGATATTAGCCTTATTGTCGTTTTGTTGACAGGTCATAGCCAGTTAAGGAGCCATGCTACATTCAATCTCCCGTTTAATAATTCCTGCTGCAGTTGTAGAGACAACGATGAAAGTGTCTCATATTTGCTTTGTTAATGCTCAGTGCGTACGTAGCGTCGATGTATTATTTTAAGGATTTTCTATTTTGATGATCTTGGTCAACTTTCTTTATAAAAAGCTTTTAACTTTGCCAATGATTCAAGGTGGTTTTTAAGTCTCTAAGTTTTTTTACGGTAACATAATGGGCCAATACGCCTAAATAGATCTATAAGATCTTCGGTATAACCGAGCCTAACTTATAATGATTGCAATTTACGGAAGTAGTGGGAAAATATTTTTTCATGTGCCTTTTAAGCAAACCTTTAGGAAAATTATTTGGAGTCGAGTTTATGAACCTAAAGTTGTCTATTTTGAATAAATTGCGTCGAAATGAAAAAAAAAAACTGATTCGAAGTTTGTGTTTTAATGAAACATAAATGAAGTAAATATTGGCATAGTATTTAGAAACTTATATAAAAGGACCTCAGCATATCTGACACCACACTGATATCTTGGGAAAAATTTTGTTTTGCGAACTTAAGAGATTATTTGAAGTAGAGTTCATGAATGTAAACCCCTTGTTTTTAATCAACAATTGAACCGTAATAAAGAAAATATAATTCGAAGTTTTGGTTGTAATGAAAGATGTACAGAAGTGAGTTTTCCGAACTCAAGAAAAAGTGCATTACCATGTTTCAGTTCATACTGGAGTGAAAAATGGAATTTTGCGAATTTATTAAACAAATCAATAGGATTAAAGAGCTAATGCCTGTGTTTCGATAGATAGATAACACTAAACAAATTATAGTAAAGTTATAGTTATGGTGTAAATAAATAATGTTGTTTAGAAGTAATTAAAGGCCACCATTTTTGCTAAATGTCTAGACTCTGTCCGACCTTACTGAGTCGAATTCAAGCAGTGATTTAAGCACTTTATTTTCCGTAATTAATTCAGTTTTTAAATTGCTAATTTTTTCTTCACTGGTGGTATCAAATAAATTAAAATTAATTGAGTTGTGCTATGGAAATAAATCACAGATCAAAAAACTATTAATGTCATTAATGGACGTTCGTCTGTTCACAACAATTACATTTTTTGCTTACGAGAATAACCAAAAATAAAGCTTTAATCAGCGTTTTCCATTGATAAACAAATCTCGACAGAATACGAGCGGGCACAAAAGATGGGACGATGGGACAATGGGACGACGATGTGATGTATCTGTGCCTTTACTATACGCATAAGCGCTGTACTCTATGGATGGAAATGGAACCTTTTGCCTTAAATATTTTTCAAATTTAAAGTAAACAATCGAATTCATGTTAATTATGTTTTTATTTAATACAATATTTACTCCGGTTCTTGAAAAAAAAATTTATGAAATGAACTCACTTTAGCTGGGAATGCTTTTGCGGCGTGACAAATGTACATATAGCACAAAACAACAGAACTGTATGTATGTATGTCGGTATACCTATATAATATGTGAGTAAATATTGGCATAGTATTTACGAGCATAAGTAAAAAGCACGTCAGCGTATCTCAGACCACACTGAGAGCGAAAAAATAAACAGAAACAAAAGTATAAACACCGTTTTAATTGAAATCTATTTTTAAAGATGTGCTTCAAATATCAACTTCAAATATTTCTAAGAAACACTTGCAAAAATATATATATATTTTTTTTTTACACAAAACAGTTGCTAAAATGCTAAAATGCTGAGATTGAAATGATTGAAAGCTTTCAATCGAAATTCTAATTGTGATTAATGCAACTGAAGCAAGGTCCTACGGTCCTACTGCAGATACAGATAGGAGATACAATGTAATTAGGCTGTTAATAAAGGCAAATTGTAACTTTGATTTCGTTTCAATATAAAGTAATTAAGTAATTTTATTATACCCAAAGCAAAATGACAATAAAAACAGGACACCACAATTAACCTTTGCAAAGGACGAAAACAGAAATATTTTCATAAATTTGAAATTTGATGAATTTAAAATTTTATTGCCATTTATTTAACCATTTTGTGAAAAAATAACAGTTCTCCCCTTGTTAAACCACAAGGTTAGAACTTCTTAATTTAAAATAATATACTCGGAAAAATAAGAAAATTAATAAGAGCAATTGCAATTCTGTTTAATTCAAGTTAGTATTAAATTTCACTTCGTCAGTTATTACTTAAACTATTTTTCTTAGAAACTAGCAAATATTTTTATAAGAAATTCATTCCCTCTTTTAATACTGAAATAAAATCGTTAGCATTCGAATTGTTTGCGTGGGTGTATGAAGTATCTGTGAAAGGCAAACTTTTAATTATAATCAAGTAAAGTTTAGCAAAGCGAAATGTCAAAAAAATCAAAACATATCAGATATATTTACAGATACGTGAATATTTTGCTTTATTCCACTTAGAGTGAAGAAACTTCGATATGCTGAGCTTCTACTGCAAATGATGAGGTATCGCATCGACAACAGGATTAGATG